TTCGACGAAGACATTTGACGGGCGGGTCGTGGCTCCGCCGTCGAGCACGCCAAGAAGCTTCGCAATCCGTACGCTATCGCGCAGCCCTCGGTCGTAGACGAGTGGGCGCGCGGAGCGAGGGCTATAAACACGAGGCGCGGGTCACGTTGGCTAGATAACCCGAAGAGGCGCGCAGAAGGTCCGAAGAAATCGCTCATTTATTCGCTTCTATCTGCACGGAGTCGCTATCGAACGCGTTGGACAGCTGGACACACGACCCGAGATGACTCAGTTGCACGTGGTATGCCAAGTCATTGTCTTATTTACCTTCGCTATCTGACACCGAACTACAGGTATCTTCGTCACGGTTCTGCAGCACGGCCAGAACGCGAGCTCTCTTGTTGGTTACACAGGACGAACCTGGGCGGTGGTTGCGGCCACCAAGCTCCGCCGCATCGTCAGCCGCACTCGAGAAGGCGGACGACGTTGAGCGACCGCCGAGTGCGCGTTCCTCTGCTTTGAGCGCATGTATTCGACTAACCGCAGACTATCGTGAACAGCCAGGATGATGGAGCCAGATGAGGACGGGATCAAGCCTCACGTTTGAGATGAAGCTGCAGTTCTCGCCCTGGGAAGGGAGATCTGCAAGTCAAGTGGATCGCAAGGTGGTCGAGAGCCTGAGGCTGAACATGTGTGAGTAGACTGCGTGGCTGGGCGGGCGCAGGCTAGTTCGTGCGAAGGCTAGTTCGTGCGACAGTACGTGGACGTTCCGTCCTTCGTCCCCGTCCTCTGTGCTGGCCTGATATCACGCCTTCCAGAACGGCCTTCCTTGGCGCAGGAACACAAATGCCATGCCTGCGATCTTGACAACGTCGATGAATCACCGTTGTCTTGTGCTGTGCCTCGCTCTCGAGTCGCCGGTCAGACAGATGTACGGAGAGCGACGACCTCAACAGGTCTTGACTTGGTTCAGTTGTCGGTAGGTCCGCAATCTACGTCTTTCGTGCCTCTTGTGCTCACAAGTATCGCGGTATGGTGGAGAGCCGGGCGCGAGCTCGTGAGAACGACATGAGATGGGGGCCGTGTAAGCAGGGCAGCTCGACCAGTTACGCGGATAGCCCAAAAGCAGCTGTTAATTTCTTTGCCTCTGACTGCCTGATTCGTGGTCGCTCCTCTTCATACGCCGCAATGGACCGTGAGGTGCGCGACTTGGGACAACCCAATGCTGTCAAAGTAAGTCCGCTTGATCTTGCGTCGCCGTTCGCTGTCTCACGCTCGACGCAGTAGGAGCGTGAGCTCGCTTGTCGGCCACGAAGTACGAAGCTGGCGATGGCCTGTAATCGCGGCTGCTGATAGTTAAGCTCTGTCACACGGACGAGAATATAAACGACGCTGAACGGTCACAACGTATGTATCGTACAGCTTGGTGCACATACATGTGACTAATTGCAGACATTTGATAGCAGCCAATATTGAGGTGTTGGCCGTGATGACGAGACATTGCAGCGCCGAACATCCAAGCTCCGGAGTTTTGTTTGAACTAGAGAACTAATCAGCAAGGACGCAGGACATGATACTATAATAATGTAGTATATTCGCGTGCATTCTTTCGCTGCGAGCTGTGGCACAATCTACTGCTGTGTCCTGGAAGGATCCGGGCGTTGCTTAGTCCTAAGCGATGGCTACCTATGCGCGAACGGCAGCCGTTCTGCCGCTTGGCACCGCCGCACACGTCCTAGAGCGCCTGCAGCCGCAGTTGTTGACAGCCAGCACGCTTCTCTGCATGCTCGCACGTTCACACGAGATGTCAAAAATTGACAGCCGCTAACGCTCGCTGCTTCCTCGCAGATCACCTGGGACACCGTGACCCATGAGGCGATGAAGCTGGAGGGAACACTGCGAGATGGTGTACTTGTGAACCTTGTACACACGAGGCCAACGGCTGTGCTCTGCCCTGATATAGCGCCGCAGGACGGCGCAGGTGTGTCGTCCGCCGTTCACCCGCATACACCACACTCGTACTCACATTTTCGCATCCTGCAGCCTCTTCCGCGTGTTTTCTTTCTCTCTGAAAGATGTCGCGCGTTACAGGAGATGATCTTCCGCCTGAGATACTGTCGCGTATTCTCGACAGTGTCACGCCAGTCAATATCAGCCCGAACTTGGCCGAACGTCGCCGGTCAAAACACGAGCTCGTCGGATCCAGCCTCGTATGCAAGCACTGGTCCGAAGCCATCAGACCTATCCTCTTCCAAATACTCGAGTTGCGCAGCGCCGAAGACGTACGGTTCCTCAAGAACATCGTCATCAGTCCCACTTTCGCGACCTCATCTCTGTCCAAGGCCATTCGGCAGATAGATATCTACCAAGAAGCTACAGAGGCGAAATCTTGGCTTCACCATGTCCACGGACTTACAACCCGTCTCCGGGACACAAGATTCAACTGTACCGTCGTGAGCCCTGCGGGCGATACTGTATCTGCACCCTGCCGTTGGGCCCCATTTCAATTGATACCCAATGTCACTCCATCCTACGTCAGACTCTCAGGGCTTACCCTCCAAGGCGTTATATTCACGACCACGACCGAGCTCGCACGGCTCATCGACAGCTTCTCCACGCTCGAGTATTGCACCTGCGACCAACTCACCTTCCTTGACTCGTCGCCAGTTGTCCAGTCACGCAGAGCCCGCCGACGTCCTTCATCGGCCCTCTGGATGTGCGATATCTCGCGGTGTAAGGATATGGCGCTCTCTGACCAAGCGGCGCTGGCTGCTGACATCCTTGCGGTTGGTCCAAGTCGTCGCATGGGCGTTGACGACCGCGCATGGGATGCGACTCTTCAAGCGTTGTTTGCATTGGTACCAAACACATTCGAAGCGGCGCCTGTGTCGCTTCATGATTGGAACGGCAGTATGTTTGGTATGTCTTCCAGCGTATGCACACAGTGCAAATCTCACCAGTCATTCCTAATTAGGCACGGCGATAATCTCGGGCCATTCATGTAATCAAGATGGGTCTATGGGCGATTATCTCAGAGCCAAAATTGAGGTTTGCCGACCGAGTGTGGGCCAGGATGCGGGATCTCCATTCGCGCATGTCGAGAGCATCGCTCTCCAACTCTCATTCGAGGATGTCGAAGCCGTGGATGCCCTTGATTGGGACGCCTTTCGAGCCGTCGTTGATTCCCCGCCCATGCACTACCTTCGTATCCACTATTTCCAGCAACGAAACAAAGATTTCCAGACGGCAAAGAGAATCCTGTGCTCTGTGCTGCGCCGCACGCAGCTGACCTGGGCTCTCGAGTCAGATAAACTGCAGTTCGGGTGCCACCTTAGTGATCCCACCACGAGTGCAGATATCTCGTCGGTACCGGCGGAACACACCATCGACGACACCACAATCACCCTTGACATCGCCGAACAAGCCGAGTGGTTGCTGCGCCCTGTCCGGCCGCCCTTTTTGGCAGATGGCACTACAAGAGAGGAATACCTACGACAGCTCGTAGCCGCGCGTGCGAGCGGAGCACCCGCGGACTCGGGCTCAGACGTCGCGCCACCCACCGCGGGTAATACTCAGCACACGGCGCTCGAGCAGACCCATGAGGTAGCAGACGACAGTGCGCAAGGACTCAGAGTGCACGAGGGAGTGGGCGGCGGAGGCGAGGAGGACCTGGCAACGGAGACGTAGGGCGGGCGTGGACGTCGAGCGGTAGCAGGGCGCACTGTCGGGCGAGTGGACGAACTTTGGAGTAGGGACGGGGCGTGGCCAGAAGCATCGCCCGCTGCAGGGAGCCTAGGGTGTCGCGTCGGAGTCGGAGAAGATTGAGGATGAAGAGAAGCGAGGGAGCAATGGGGCAGAGAAGAGCCGTGAGCCGGCGAAGATTCTCCCCAGGTGCGGAGAAAGATGGTTAGGGCAGTTGCACTGAGGTCGGACACTTAAGTTGCGGGCGTTATCGACAGAACGCTGCGAATGCGCGGGCGGTTTTCGTGTATCGGAACATTTGCTTTGCTCTATCGACTTTGTGTATATTTCCTGTCTTTATGGGACGGCGTTGCGTACGATCTCTGGATTCGACCACTTGTTCTTCATGTTTCTGGTCTAGATCTTTCAAAGAGCACCCATACATTTCGCTCGGCCTTCTCACTTCACTAGCTTCACTTTGTGATTCCTTATGTCATTGCCTATTTCGAGTCCGTTTGTAGATTATTGTGCAGGGTGGACTAAGAGGCGGAATAAACACAGTGTGAAGACAAAACCGCGCTCAATGAGGCGCAACGG